AGGTGGGGACTGGAGACTTCGATGCTTTGAGAACTGCCACATGGAGTTGTTGACAAGGCCCCTCCACACGCCACTAACCTCCCTCACTGCCGAGGGGACCGTTTTAGTGGGGAGTTTTAGTGGGTTGAGTACGGTCCCTCTAAACTCATCCCCACTTGGAATCTCAGAATGTGCCCTATGGAAGAAGGGTCTGCAGTTGCAATTAGGTAGATTAAGATGAAGTCAAGACTGGATTACTGTGGGCCCTAATCCAATGACTGGTGTCTTTAGAAGAAAAAGAAGACAGTCCACACACGCACGGGGGGAGAAGGCGGAGAGGGGAATGACACATCCGCCAGCCAAGGAGGAGCACGTATTCCGGCCACAACCAGGAGCTGAAGAGACATGGACGGGTTCGTCCCTAGATCCTTTGGAGTGAGTGTGGTCATGCTAACACCTTAAGACGCCCAGCCTCCAGAATTGTGAGAGAGTACGTGTCTTGTTTTAAGCCACCTCGTTTGTGGTACTTTGTCACCACAGCCCAGGGAAACTTCATGTAGTGGTCACGAACCCCGTTGAGCCCCCAGCACTGCTGTCCCCCAGCACTGATAGCCCGTGCCTGCGGAGATACAAGGGCTGGAGGATTAGAGGAGGGCAAGCAATGGGATGCCGCTGACACTGATGTACTTACAGTGACCAGACGGACACAGACCAGCCCGCACTGCCGCAGCGCCCTCGACACAGTGCGCACGTTGACGTATTTATACAAGGTCAAGACCCCCTCTTTTCTTGCAGGACTTACTTGGGTGTAGTAATTAAGCTGCTTTTTTCCAAGGCTCGGGGAGAAGGAAGAGAATTTCCAGTGCAGAAAGTAGACAGAGCTGATAATCCTTCAGTCTGTGCTGCTCTCCTCAGGTCTGTGCGGGCTCCCTCCTGATCTTCACTTTCATCCCGTCTTCACGCCATGCGTCCCCTTCCCCAGCATTGACCCACTGTAACAGGTGCTGGATATGTGTGTTTCTCCCAAAATGTGTCATTTTGTGGGGGATTGTGTTCTTTATGTAAATGGAATTATGCTTTAGACTTTATGTTCTGACTGTACTTGACAGTTTTTCAAAGATCTACATATGTAGGTTGTTACGCACATATAATTCATTGTTTCTAAACGGAATCACAGTCTGCATCCACCATGTTTTGTTTAGCAGTTTGTCTAGTGTGGGCACCAAGCTGCCCCCAGCTTCCCACCACCACAGACGATGCTGCTTGTACCCGTCCTCATGCCTGTCCCCTGGGGGCCTGGATGGGAGCACCTCTCCTGGCTCCTAAAGCGAGCTTATGCTTCGTTCTGCTGAGTGTTGCCGTTTTGTTCTTCAGAGTGGTTCTAGTATTGTGAAAATAAATGAAGGCCACCCAAGTGAGAGCCAACTCAAGCCATTCTTTCAGGGCTTTGCTACAGCAGAGGAGTCAGCCACCATTGCTAGTATTTGGCAGAGACTCAAGGCAGTCGGGATGGGAAGCTTTGTGGTGGAAAAGAGAAGGTTTGCGTGTGCCCCGTTTGGAGGTGGCCGGCCTGGGGAAGCCACTGGAAGCAGGGCATCTCCTGTGATGGTTTGCAAGCTTATTGTCTTTCTCTGGTTGGTCCTGAGTTGGAAATGGGAGCGATAATAGGGAAGCTGGTAGTCGTTGAGCAAGTCTAACTGGGCCAGTTGCTGCAAAGGTGGTCATTTGACCTCTGGGGCTAATTGCCACAGAAGCTGTTGGTCAGAGTTCTGTTGTCATATATGGTTTGGCCGTTGTCATTTGTGTATGCAACTGGGGCTCCTACTCCCCTGCATCCTCACTCGTTGTCTAATTTTTACCAGTACAATGGATGTGAGTATCCCATTGTTTTGATTTGTGTTTCTCTAATTAGTGAAGCTGAGCATCTCTCCGTGTATTTCTTGGTCATTTTAGAGTCCGCCCTCTGTGAAGTGCTGATGCCTATCATTTGCTCGTTTATCAGTCAAAAAAAACTTTCTCTCCAGTTGCTCCCACTCTCATCAGCACTGGGTGTGGCTTTACATTTTCATCATTCACATTTCATTCTCTAATCCATCTAGAATCCATTTTCATATACAGTTTAGGGCGGGAATCCAGTTTTATTTATTGCCAGATAGTAAGCCAGTTTGTCTGACTCTATTTTTTTTTTTTTTTTTTTTTTTTTCCTTTTTCTCCCCAAAGCCCCCCAGTACATAGTTGTGTATTCTTCGTTGTGGGTCCTTCTAGTTGTGGCATGTGGGACGCTGCCTCAGCGTGGTCTGACGAGCAGTGCCATGTCCACGCCCAGGATTCGAACCAACGAAACACTGGGCCGCTTGCAGCGGAGCGCGCGAACTTAACCACTCGGCCATGGGGCCAGCCCCTGTCTGACTCTATTTTTTAAAATCTGTTTCTAATTCTCTATTCTGTTCCATAATCTGTTTTTATGAAATTTATAATTTCTACCTTTTCCAAGAAAGAAAGGAATACAATGATTTAAAGTATGATAAGTGTTAATGTTACCACCCACGGGGGGGTCCTCTGCTCACAATAAGACATGCCATTCATCAGGAGGCAAGGTGGTAGGAAAGAAAGGGTTTTTATTACAGCTTGCTAGCAAGAGGGAAGATGGCTGACTAATGTCCAAAGAACTGTCTCCCAGGACAAAGACGACAGGCCACTTGTATACAGGGCTGGTCTCTGGGTGGGGCCTCCATCTGATCTCCAGGTGGGGCAGACATCTGGTCCCCATTCCTGATAGTCCTTTGTTTTACTGGATACAGAGACTGGAGCAACGTCCTTTCTGTTGTCATTGATGATGGCTATCAGCTTAGGCTCTCTGCCCGGGGGTCATCACATTCCTAAGGAACTCAAAAGAACAAAGTTATCATCTTAAAGCACCTGGGAGGGGCCACAAAATCTACAGAGCACATCTGGGCTAGTCAGAGGTCACTCAAAGTCACAGTATGGTTTCTTTTCTACAATATGGCTTACCTTATGTCGACCCTGTGTTGAGCTGGTATCATTAAGGGGATTTCAGGCTAGAAAAAAGGGAGGCGGACTGAGTCCCCCAGAAAAGTGCTGTAAGGAAGGCAGAGGAGGCATGGGCTCCAATTTTTTGTTTTTATTTTTTGCCACAAAGCAAAAGTTATAAAATTTTATACACATGAAAAATAAAAACAATCTCTGATTGCGCCACCTTGAGGAGAGGCCTGACACTGCCGGTCACCCACCGGGTGAGCCCAGCTCCACCCCGTCTCCCCAGGCAGGAACCATCCAGGTGAACTGAAGGTCCCTTGACTGCTCTGTTTGAGTGTGGGGTGAGGGATGAGAGACTCAGAATGACGGTGACATTTATGACCTAGAAGGTTGTTGGTTTCATTACAACATTGCCCTTCTTTAAAAAAAAAAAATTATACAAACAGCTCCATTGTTGAAAATTTGATAAAAGCAAAATATTCCTTTTCTCATCCATAAATTTTATTTATTGGGCTTGTAGAAGAGAAAGCATGACTTTTATTTTTATTGCTGTAACATTGGTTTATAACATTATATATAAATTTCAAGAGTACATTATTATATTTTGACTTCTGTGTAGATTACGTCACGTTCACCACCCAAAGACTAACTACCGTCCATCCCCACACACAGGAGCCTAATCACCTCTTTCACCTTCCTCCCTCTACACGTCCCCTCTGGTAACCACCAGTCCAATCTGTTGCTTTGTGTTTGTTTGTCATTGGTTTTATCTTCTACTTACAGTGAGATCAGAAAGCATGTCTTTACATGCTGTTGTATGCCGCATCATCTGTGGAACCAACCTGCCTTTGTTGGACATTGGGGTTGTTTCTTCCCTGGAGTCAGCTGAGCTCACGGGAAGCCTGGTGAGTGATGAGGATCAAGGCTGCCCCAGGGAGAGAAGCCCAAGGCTCCTGCCTACACACTGATCCACATCATCCTCCAGGAAGCGTAGGACGTCCTGACTTAATCCGATCTGATTCTTATCTAAAGTTATAGGACCACGCAATAACCAGACGCCACCTGCACTGATACCATTTTAACGATTTTTTTCATCATCTTTCCTGTCTTGTAAAGAAATAACTAACATACCCATGCCTTATAAATTTAGCCCTGCCCTCAACCCATTGCAGCTGTTTACTGCCCACGGGCGCTGTCCCCATGCTGCAGCTCTTCACTGCCCACGGGCCCTGTCCCCATGCTGCTCCATGCTATTTTCTGAATGAAAGAGCACTACTGTCAGACCTTGAGAGTCCAAGAAATCTTTCTTTCAACTCCTCAACTCACTGAACCCGCATCAGTGAGGACCAAGGAGGGGAGAGTGAAGGCAGCTGAACCTCCACTGTGAGGTAGACACGGGGGCGTCCACCCATACCTCTCTCACCACCACTGAAGTCTGTGCTGTTACCCCATTCTACAGAGAAGGAAGTGAAAACTCATACATGCTACTTGCGCAGATGTACAGAAGTAGATAGCAACATGGATGATCTGAAATTCTGCATGGTTGTCTACACATCTTTTTCAAACTTATGTTATTTTTATTTGAGTACATTGCCTCCAGGGTTTAGAAATTTTTAAATTTTAATTGTGGTTACAATTACGTAACATTAAATTTATCATTTTTGTTTGTTTGGTTTTGTTTTTGCTTTTGGTGAGGAAGATTGGCCCTGAGCTAACATCTGTGTCAGTCGTCTTCTATTTTGTATGTGGGGTGCCACCACAACATGGCTTGATGAGCAGTGTGTAAGTCTGTGCCTGAGATCCAAACCCGTGAACCCCAGACACCAAAGCGGAGCCCATGAACTTAACCACTATGCCACCAGGCCGGCCCCTTATTTAAACTTTTGAGATAATAAAACAGTCCAGAAGTGGAGAGCTTTGTGAAATGTTGATTCTTGTTTGGTAACCTGATGATTAAAGAATAAAATAAGCAAGAGTGCTCAATAACACACTTGAAGTCAGGGAGCCTGCGCTGTCACCCGCAGACACAGCTGAAGTTTCAAGGGCGTCTGGACGACATCAGGATCCATCAGAACCGCTTCAACAGACCAACCTCTAAATGAGCAGCCCTCCCCTCTCGGCCGCAGGGTTTAGAATAGACCTGTTTATTCTTTGAACATTCACGTGGATACTGTAGAGATGGCAATCTTGCATCGCTTCTCTGAAACTTCGTGCCTTCCTTCGTGATTTCCCCAGTCTTTTTCCCAGTGCCTGAAGGATTTCCTAAAAAGTCTGAATCGTCCTAGGACAGTTCATGTAAAAGCTGGCCTGTTGCATCAGCAGTTCATAATGAAAATGGCGGCCATCTTTCTCTCTCTTCTAACACACTATCCAAACAAAACTCGTGCAAATCAGAGAGAGAGGCAATATTTCCGGGTCTTCTTATTTCATAGAAGAGAGGGCATGCCAACCAAGATGTCTTTAGATATGAACCTTTGAGTTGCGTGTTGGGGAGAGAACCATTGGCAGCCCAACACCTCCTCCACATAGGGGACAGGCTGCAAAGGAAGGCCATGGAAGCAGTGGTCTCCAGGGCACACGGATGGTGGGCCAGATGCCGCCAGGGGTGGGGCTCGCAGTGGAGGTGTGTGCGCACAGGCGAGTGGAGTGGTGCAGGTCATGGTAAGGAGGGCGGGCTGGGTGGCCAGGCAGCTGCCTGTGCTCAGGCTGAAGCCAACCGGGTGCCACGAGGTCCCAACAGCAGCATAGCAGCCTCCTCGGAGGCCTCGTGGATCTGCCTGAGTTCTTTTAAAGAAAAAATTTTGTTCTAAAATGTTTTATTGTCAAGTTACTTCTGCCAAGCTTTGTGCATATTTAACCTCCTTGGGCTTACAGCTCCTATGCAAATAAAATGGAAACAGACTTACATCTGAACTACAAACAAAGTTGCAAAACCCATGAAATTAAAACCATTAATATAACCTTATCCACAATATTTTTTTCCCGGAATTTAATAGTTGCTCACAGTGTGGCTGTGGTCCCACGCCCTCCAGCACGGGCTCTTGAATTATGCTGTCTTTGGGAGACCTCATTCTCACGGGGCATTTCTCTCTTCACCAACTGGGGAGCCTTCCTTCCCTCATCTTGCCAAGACAGAAACAGCTCTGACGCTGAGCCAGATGCCTAGAAGATGCTGACATCAAGCTTTTTTCTCATCCTCTTCAAAGTAAAACACAAAATTAAACTGTCCCTGAGAACACGTGGACTCCCCCAGATCCTTTGTTTCAAACATTCTGAACCCTGCTAGCAAATTTTCAAGAAATTAACACAGCAAGATTTGATGCAAGAAGCGGTGGTCCTGCCCCCTCCAGCCCCAGAGCCCCCTCAGCTCTGCGGGGGCCTGAGCAGCAGACGCTTCTGTGTTCTGAGCAGAGCCCAGGTGCACCCGGGGCAGAAGGCTCACGGGCCTTTAGGGATGTTAGTCATGGTCCGTTCCTGCTCCCAGTGGTTCCCAGTTGGGGCAGGCTGCCCAGTAATAGGGCTCCCCAGACTCGGAGACAGCTCTGCTGGGAGGAAAGATGCATGTCAAACTCTCTGACAGCCGAAACGAGTTTAAAAATTAAGTCAAGGCAACAAAGATCTTAGAGAGGCTCTGAGCAATTCTCCCTTCCCTCATCGCACTGCACCATCCAGCCTCTCTGGGCCGGCAGTTCCCTGGATGTTGTGTTCTCTCCTCTGCTCCCTGTGCTCTTCCCGCTCCTGCTGAGCGCTTCCTCCCAGCTCACCTGGAAATTCCCGCCACTGAGCAGTTAGCTTCTCCGCTCCAGGAAGCTGTCTCTGACGCCCAAGGCTAGCTCAGTGCCTAAGACCACAGGCCCTTTGCCTCTTTGAGCCTCAGCCTGAGGCCGGCAGGCACTCAGTGAGGGACCAGGTTGGCGAGACCTGGAAGATTGAGGTCCCCTGTCGACAGACAGCGGGGCCTGGGCTGGAGCTTCTTAAGTGCCGTCTGAGGGCAGGGCTGGTCCCAACCTGGCCAGATGCTGAGAGTCAATTGGCCCCACCAAAAGCCTGTCAGCCAAGGGGGTCTGAGAGTGACAGCTACCAGTTTCCTAGCCAAGCACTTTAAAAAGTAGATCCGAAAACGGGAAGGCCATGCTCTCACCCGCACTCCCAGTCTGCCTTCTCCAAATTCCACAGGAAATTGCCCCTAACTGTCTGAGGGGTTCGGGAAAGTGCTCAGTTTTCCAGGCAATGACTTTGTCCCTGCCGCAGAGACTGTGCGGTCCCCTCCCGGCTTCCTGTCTTTGCCCCTCTCCCTCCACCTCCCTGCTCAGCCTTGATTGCATCTCGTGGAGCCGGGACAAGAAACCAGAATGAGACTAGCTCCAAGTGGAGCATCCCAGCAGTGTCTGTCTGCAGAGGAGGCAGCTGCAGGTGAGGACACTGCAACCTTGCCCAGACCTGCCGCCGGCCTGGCAGGCATGAGTGCTAGCGACGCTGGAGAGGCCAAGCTGGCCTGTCACATGAGGGCCCTGGACCTCGCAGGCTTCTGTGAAAGCCATGAGACTGTTTTCCAGCAGAAAGAACCCGGTTTGGTGCCACTGAAGTGGAGGCGGCTCTGCTCGGCCGCGGGTTATCAAGGATCGGAAAGTGCTTCAGCACAACAGGCTTGGGCTCAGCTCGCTCCGCTGGGTCACCGTGCGATCCGGGGACAGAGCCGTGGCTCCCAAGTCGGCGGTTGGCACCACATTCTTCTTCCTGATTTCCGAAGGCAGACTCCTAGCTTTCAGGAAGCAGGTTTACTGTTGTATGCTCTTCCAGAACATTAAAGTAAGTTTGTGTCTGCCCAGTTCCTGGTGCTCACAAACGTGGACCCAAATCAAATAAGCTCACACGTGCAAATTATTCTGCATACTGAGTCGTGTGTGGATTTATATAAAAAGTGTGAGGCATGGCTGTTGACTCGAATTGTAAAACAACAACAGGAAAGTCCAGAAGCAGTCACCACGGAACAGTCGCTGGGCAGGCTTGAGGAGAGGGTGTAACGTTTCTGTCTCCATTCAGGCTGCTGCCCCTTCCTGCTATCCTTTCTGATGCCGGGCTCTGGACGGAGGTGGCAGGGTGGCCTCAGGAAACGAGGACCTTCCAGTAGCAATGGATGGAGGCCCCTTCACAAGCCCTTCGATTAGAAATTTCTATGTAGGGAATGCTGTTGGAGTGGACTGTGGCGCCTTGACACCCAAGGATCCCAAAGGGGAAATCACATTGCATGTTTGCAGAGGGGGTGGGGGCCATGGATGTGGGTCCACGGGACCTCGGCTAGGGGATTGTGCTGGAGAAAGATGCTGGCAGGGCAAGAGGCTGAGGCTGGAAACCTGAGTCATACTCCTAGAGCGTCACCTCCTGTTCATGCTTAATGGCACTATTCTTTATGCGAACATCACAAGTGTATTTATTTTAATCCCTTTTTAGATTGTTCTAGTAGCTCTGCTTCTTCAGGAGTGAGTTCTCCCCTTTAAGGATGTAGATGGTACTAAAATGGTGTCTGTCGGGCTTCCTCACAGGTGTTATGGTTCTTTCTCAAGAGATTTCTCCTCACGTGGCTTGTCTCCGCTGGGGCATCTCCACTTGGTTGCCTCCGCTCAGCTCCTGTTTTGGATTCCCTGAGTCTAGACAATTTTTTGCTTTAGTGGATTGGCTAGGATTTTGCCAGCTTGAACACTCAGGTCCCACAGGTATGTGACACAGACTCAGGATTCCAATTTCGTGGTTCCAGCGTGGGAGGGCTGACTCCATCTTCTGGCTAAGAGAGGAAGGACATTCAGATTCCCATTTGTGGATGGGCAGCTTGATCCTGAGTCTGGTTCCAGCTCTTCTTTAAATGCCAGGGCTGTGGGCATTTTAACTCTGGCCCTTACAGCCTGTGTCTGTCCCTGGCCCTTCCACGGCCTGTACAACCTCAGCTACTGCTCTGTGTATCTCACACCTGAGGAGTCCCCTTTTCTTGCCTTTGAGACGTGTATTCTTAAAATATTTTGTACTCAAATATTTTAAATAATATTCTATCTAGTATTTCTATGTATTAGGCATGGATGTTAGTGTTTTAGAATGGGTCCAGTCTACCATCTCGACCTAAATTTTTAACTAGAAGTTATTTTTAGTAAAATATTGATTTTTTTACATTAATTTTGTAAACAATCTCTTTACTCACCTCTTTTATTTTTCTGGTAAGTTCAAGCAGTTTCTGGGTTTTTTAGCTGTGCAATCACGTGATCTGTGAACAGTGAGTTTTACAACCCCCTCTCTACTAGTTACATATTTGATGGAGTCGTTGTCTAATTGACTTGGCAGGAACTTCTAGAACAATATTCGATGATAGTGGTACTGCCAGGCACCCCCTGTACCAGACTTTATGAGAAATGTTTCTAGTGTTTTAGCCTTAAACACGTCCTGGCCTTGGTCTTGAGAAATAGGTTTTCATTAAGATAAGGAAAGATTCCTCCATTTTTGTTTTATTAAGAGGTTTATAAGAAATGGAGGTAGAAATTTTATTAAATGCATTTTCAACATTAATAAAGGTAATCATATAATTTCTCTCCTTTGACTTATTTAAAATTAATTTATATTCCTAAATTTCCTAATATGGAGCCATCCTAGCTTCTTAAAATGAACCCCATGTGGTCTTGGTGTGCTATTCTTTTAATGTATTGCTGGTTTGATTTGATATATACAATTTATATGTGATTTGTACATATATGTATAAATGTTTATAGAACTTTTTTTCTTTTTCATTTCTATTCACAAATAAAATTGGTCTGTAGTTTCGTCTTTATTAGGTTCTTGGATTAGTGATTTGTTGATTTTGTAAAATGAATTAAGGTATTTCCTTTATTTCTCTATGCTCTTAAACAGTTTAAACAGTATCAAAAATATCTGTTCATTCAGTATTCGAAAGAGTCACATGTGAAATAAGCTGGGACTAGAGTTTTTGAGAATTTTCCAGTTTCTTCTGTGTTGTTAATTTGTTTGGGTTTTCTTCTCTCTCCGGTCCAGTCTTGGTAATGCGTATTTTCGTAGAAGGTCGTGGTTCCCGGGTTCTCAGAGGGATGGACGCGGCTGAGTG